AGCTGCACAGTGTTAGGGGCAGCGACAGAAGCGTGATCGCTTGAGTTTCTTTACCAGGTAATTGGTGAGGCCTTGGGCTATCTTCATCTTGTCGTGGCAGCGCGGACACGTGCGGGTGGATCTTGTCCCGGTCTTCTCGCTCGAGGACGCCCTACTCTTCGGGTCAGAGGCGCAGTTGCTGTTCGACTTAACAATCAAGGCGATGAGAAAGAGCTCTACCGTGCTGAACGCTATTGCCGAATGTGCGTAACGCTAATCTGAGTGTGTTCGACGAACACTTCGTAGGGAGACCCTCAACGGAAAGTCTGAGTGGATGTCCACTCAGATGATAATTCCCCCTTTAAAGCGACATTTATCAGTCGCTAAATAACATAGATTTGGCGACATGTGGTACATGTACATGGTACTGTACAGCATCAGCAAAGGTAGATTATGGTAGACATTCACGTGAACAATCCGGGCATGTTGTCACTGCGACCTAATCAGTATATGGATTACGGTAAAGCTCTCATCGATATTTCGAGTATAATGCTAACGTAAAAATGATACTGTATAGAATACACAGTACAATAGTAGTAGTACAGGTTTACTTGAGGTAAATGCGCTGTCGGTTTTTTCGACGTTCAACCGGATTGTGGGCCACATCGTATGGTCGTGCTCAGATTAGCTAACGCTCAATCTCTACCTGGATTGGTTAATATCCTATCGAATTAATCTCGGTGATGGGCAGTATCCAAAGACCATCACTCATAAATATCATTTTTAGACCTGCAATTTGTAAGGTAGATCAGGCAAATGGATATTGTTTACCAACGCTGCGATCAGAATGGATCATAATGGCTACTCATAGAACTCACGTTACAGCCTGCAACTTGCAGGCACGTGTTTCAGCGTGTCACAATCGACGCGAAGATTCCGGTCAGTTTCATTAAAAGCTACAGCTGCGGCGGGTCAGTGGCAATGCGCTTCAACATCCTGTCTATTTAAGTACGTGTTTGCGAATGCGTGACTGTGTATCAGCTCGCGACAAATGGGAAAAAACGCGACTGCAACCCGGAGAAATAAACGTACACTGCTTGCTGCCCTTGTTAGCAAGGTGTCGGGTGTCGGATGTCGTGGAGTTACTTGGCATGTGCAGCTCTACTACTAATTGCTACCAGGTTGCACTATACCTGCGCGGCGGCACAATACTAACAGCAACCATGATCATTATCGTTTTTTTTTTCATCCGCTGTGCTGTAGCGTATTCTTTTTACATGTACATATTACAGGAGTAAGACACAGTTGCACGACTGCTACATATAAATACGTCAAGGATCGGGAACATGCCCCCAAGCACCAGCTCCCACGAAATTGATTACCAGTCGCTGAGTAGGGCCTGGCCGCCGTCAGTGAACATTGAATTGGTGGTCACCGAGCCGCAAAAACAGATTTGGTCGCCGATTATGTGGCACATGTTCGAGCAAATGCGGGCCAGGATTTGCGTCGCTGCACGAAGTTA